GTTCCCAAAGTCACTTGCCCAAGAAACTGTCTTTTCTCTTGCCTCCTTTGTCAAAGATTAATTGACAGTTAGGTGTGTGGTTCATGTCACTTTTTAAGAAGTGTTTTTGAGCATTAAGGAAAGGTCATGTTTCTATTAAAGCAAGGTCTCTAGATTAAGGAATCTTAGCAGTGCTTAGAAGAATGTCTGTAGATCAAAGCTTTAATCAGAAAAAAATTGGGGAAGGAAGCTGGAGGATTTCCTTTTTTATTAAAAAAAAAGTTTGGGGGGGGTGCAGGCTAACAAAAGTTAACTGTGTGGGAAAGCACTCACTAGAAAAATATGTGATTCTCCTGTCTTTAGAAGTCACAAGATACACCTTCATGGCTTTGTGACTTCACGCAGTTCCCCATGTCACCTCTGGGAGCCATTACCAGATGGTGGACACTCACAGCTAATGCTAAGTGCTTACTCTTGGTGTCAAGGGCCCGGTGTTCAGTAAATACGGGCTCCCTCCCTTCCTTCCTGCCCACTTAGAGAAGAAAAACAGAGGCGATCACAGAAGCTTCACAGACGGAAGTGATTTTTAAAGTACCAAAGAAGTAAGGCTGCAATTAGAGCAAAGGGGAAGACATGTTTAAAGAGAAGGTTGCAGGTTTATTGTGGGAAAGGAGGTCTCATTTGCGAAGGTTTTTGGGGCCATTCTGGAAGCATCCACTTTTTTCTCATTGGCCTTCTGTCAGCAGCCATTCGCTGCTGAGATCATTTCTGAAGTTTGTTTTCAGCTCATGCGGCCTTCTCCTTGGCAATAAGTCTGACACTGGCCCTAGTCTTGGCAGACGGTGCCTGACTGACAGTGGGCACCCAGGAAGGAAAGGCTGTCTCCGTCTCAGAGAGCGGAGACTTCTCCTCCTTTAGAAATTCCCAGATGCAGGTTCTGGGTTGGGCGGGGAGGGGAATCTAGCTGGACCCAAGAGAAACTGTCCTCAGCTTCCTGAAAGTAAGTTCCGGCTTCTCGATGCCACCGTCGCCCGTGTTTTGGCCGAGAACCACAGGCAGGCAGAGTGGGAAAGCTCTCTGATGGAAAGAAGGGAGGGTTTCAGTACCCTGATGGGGGGACTGTGGGCCTAGGGAAGCGGGAGGTGGCCAATGGGAAGTGGGGCATCCTATGTGATCGGTTGTTATTGTTGTCGTTTATAGTCACGCAGTCACGTCCGACTCTGTGACCCCACGGACTGTAGCCTGCCAGGCTCCTCTGTCCTTGAGATTTCTCAGGCAAAGATACTGGAGTGGGTTGCCATTTCCTAGCCCAGGGGATCTTCCCAACCCGGGGATTGAACCCACTTCTCCTGCATTAGCAGGCAGATTATTTACTACTGAGCTACCAGGGAAGCCCCATGTGATCAGTTAGGGGTGAATATTTGGCTTCTGCTTGGTCCTAAGTTGGAAGCAGGGACAAAAATTAGAGAAGTTGGCAGCTGTTAACCAAGGCTGGCTGTTTGGATTTCATAGAAGTTGCTGGTTGGCTTCCTGTATTGTCAGAGACAACCATCCAACTTTCCCCAAGTCTGACGTGTCATAGGCAGGCTGCCTTCCCTGGCCAGTTACCGTAGATAAGGGCTTGGTTTGGGGGCAGGGTGCTGCAGGTGGTAGGTGAGAGCTGTGTTTTTATATATGGTCTGACTACATGTGTTTGTGGATTCAGTCTCTCACTGAGGGCGACATGTTGCTCTCAGGGGTTGGTCCTGAGCAGGGCTTTTAGGACGAGACCCAGGTGCTTTGCTGCTCCTGTATGGACCCACTCCAGCCCTCGCACACATCTGTTTCCTATAGGATTTGGGTAGGGAGGGGTGATGGCTAATTCTGATTTTTTTTTTTTCAGGACAGCTGTGGACATAACGTAATTCTTTGCTGAAGTCTCTTAGCTTCAGTGTCTTATTTCAAAACTGAAGCCAAAGTAGCATTTTGGGCTAGAAGGAAACAGTTATTCCCCATTTTAGAACTCCAGAAGGAAAGGACTTTAAGAACTATCATTAAGTGGAGGTTGTATGTATAGATGAGGGCTGATTATATGGGTTTGGTAGCTGTGGGTTCTTGATATGCAAATATACCTCCGAGAAGGAAATATGAATCTGGAGACTGGGAGATTCTTTCTGGCTGCATGATCCTGAATATATTGCTGATCTTCTTGAAGTCTCATAAATAAATTAAAGCCAATATTATTGCCCTTGCTGACTTTGCAGAGTTGCAGCCCTCCTGGAGATTTCATGTGTTTAAAAGAGTATTCAAAGCCCTTTGGTACGGTTGTACTGCCTTCATTAAGCACATTTCTGCCTTGCAAGTTGCCTGCTCTGCAGAGTAAGTGAGTGTTAGTGAGTGTTAGCCACTCAGTCATGTCCAACTCTTTGCAACTCCATGGACTGTAGACTGCCAAGTTCATGGGAATTCTCCAGGCAGGAATACTGGAGTGGGTTGCTATTTCCTTCTCCAGGGGATCTTCCCAATCCAGGGATCGAGCCCAGGTCTCATTCATTGAAGACAGATTCTATACTGTCTGAGCCACCAGGGAAGCCCCCTGCTCAGCAGTTCAGTCAGTTCAGTTCAGTCGCTCAGTTGTGTCCGACTCTTTGCGATCTCATGAACACAGTATGCCAGGCCTCCCTGTCCATCACCAACTCCCAGAGTTTTCCCAAACTCATGTCCATTGAGTCGGTGATGCCATCCAACCATCTCATCCTCTGTCATCCCCTTCTTCTCCTGCCCTCAATCTTTCCCAGCATCAGGGTCTTTCCAAATGAGTCAACTCTTCACATCGGGTGGCCAAAGTATTGGAATTTCAGCTTCAACATCAGTCCATCCAATGAACCCCCAAGACTGATCTCCTTTCGGATGGACTGGTTGGATCTCCTTGCAGTCCAAGGGACTCTCAAGAGTCTTCTCCAAACCACAGTTTAAAAGCATCAGTTCTTCTGCGCTCAGCTTTCTTTATAGTCCAACTCTCCCATCCACACATGACCACTGGAAAAACCATAGCCTTGACTAGATGGACCTTTGTTGGCAAAGTAAGTCTCTGCTTTTTAATACGCTGTCTAGTTTGGTCATAATTTTCTTTCCAAGGAGTAAGAATCTTTTAATTTCATGGCTGCAATCACCATCTGCAGTGATTTTGGAGCCCCCCAAAATAAAGTCAGTTATTGTTTCCAGTCTTTCCCCATCTATTTGCTGTGAAGTGATGGGACCGGATGCCATGATCTTAGTTTTCTGAATGTTGAGCTTTAAGCCAACTTTTTCACTCTCCTCTTTCACTTTCATCAAGAGGCTCTTTAGAGTTCCTATCAAATACCACTCTGTAAGCAGAAGTGGGCATATCTTATTGGCTTCCAACTTGGGGCAAGTGCTGCTCTTAATTTTAATCATGCAAGCCTCCTTATTGCCTACAAAATGAATCTGAGCTCTTAAAGTGGTATCAAGGCCCTTCAAATCTAGACCTGGCTTTAGTCTGTCCATAGTCCTCTCAGCAAGACTTTACTCCCCCTAAAGGGATCAGAGGTTGGGTCTCAGGTCTTGAGAGGGGGCCTGGCAAGGCAAGGCAGGCCTGTCCTAGACAGCCAGGGTTTCTATTCAAGTTAGTGAGATGGGGAGTAAGATGAGGATGTTCTAGGGCTAGAGGTGGGGCAGTCTTGTTCTCAAGAGTAAGGTACAAGCTCAGATACTCCAGTGCCCTTGAGGATGTGCGTGAGGTTGACTCTGTGACTGTAGAGAAAGGATGCGGAGCTTGGTGATGCTGCCTGGCTATGATTTAAGGAACCCAGGACCAGAGAAGTAAAGTGAGTTCAGCATCCAAAGTCATATTCCTCACTGGCAGTAAATCTATGCTTAGAGCTCAATTCATGTGATTCCCCCGGGCTAGGGGTGGAGTGGGCCCTCTCCGGGGTCTTCACACAGCCGTTCTGGGGGCTGTCTGTTTCTCTGGTGGTGCTGTGTGTTCTGGGAGCGAGGGATTAAGAAGGAGAGATTTAATACAGGCAGGTGTGCATTTTCCAGTTTATTATTGACAGGTTCTAGGGTAAGGATTTTGATGGAAAAATCTGCAGCTAAAAGAAAGCCTGACAATGACCATTACAATTTCTATTCCTCTCTGAAGAGCTGGAGAATCCAGAGAATAAAAGCCTGGAGTTCAACAGCATGACAAAGGCACAGAAATCCATCAGAACAGGGCAAATTCTCCACAAACAAAGGCAACACAGTATGTACGAAAAAACTTATGCCTTCAGCAAGGGATTTCATGAGGAGCTTCAGCACTGGCAATTCTCAGGAAGTCGCCTAGCTGTGACTTGCCATTATCTCCATTGTGACTTGCCCTTTAGGAAACTACTAGCATTTACTGTGCCTTTTCAGGGTCCATTTTATATATTTTGCTCTCTAGGAGCCAGAATGAAGGAATAGAAACCTATTTAAGCTAGCTCAAATAATCCAGGCGTGTGTGATATTTTTAGAACCCAAGGCAGAAAATGTAAGGCATCTTAGTGGAATCAGAAACCCAGGTTGCTCTCTGTCTTGCAAGGACTTTTGTGGTTCCACTTTGCTCCTCTCCAACCTCTCTCTGTCTCTCTCTTCCTCTTGTCTACACTCCAACATGAGTGACAGGTCAATTGCACGATATCACACTCGGCCTACATTCTCTGAGAATCCTTGGGTTGGATTTTTAAGAGACAGACTCTGATGGATTCAACATAGTCTGCAGAACAACTTTCCCTGAGACAGATACTCCATCACTCCCAGTCCAATCAACTTTGATGGAGGAGAGGGAGGTCTGGAGGAAGTGAGACAGCAGGTGACTTCTTTCTTTGGTTCGTGTCGATGCTCTTGAAAGTTGTCATCACCTATAGCTAGAAATGGGCAGCCTGTTCCTTGGGACTGTACGCAAAGTCAGAGAGTCAGAAAACCACGCAAGAAACTTGAACACAGATTCATTCTTTCTTATTCTTTTCTCCTGCAGGAGCCAGGTTGCCCCGAAGACCATGAACTTGTCTTCTGAACACTGCAACATGTCAGATTGGCTGAGGCTGGAAGCAACCGTGAAGGCTTCCGTGTACGTGGTGGCTTTCTCCTTCGCCACATTTATCACAGTCATCATTATCGCCATCGTATCACAGAATTCAAAACTGAGGAAAGAGGTTCGATACATCCTTCTCTGTCACCACCTGCTGTGCATCTCCTCCTACTGTGGCCTGGGGGTGGTTTTCCAAGGGATGCGAGCCTTCCTGGCCAACAGCCCTGTCCTGGTATGCTGGGTGGTGTTTGGGGCACAGCTGAGTGTTGGAGAAGGGATCCTCTTCACGCTGGCCTTGATGGCTGCCCACACATACCTGATAATCTGCTGGCCCTTGACATCTGTGTCCTTTGTAGATTCCGTTAAGTATAAGATTCTATCTGGGACTTGGCTCATTATTATACTGAAGAATGCTTGCCTTTTCCTCATAGAGGGCACTGGCCCTACGCAGATTGCTCTTTTAAAATCTGAGCCCCTTTGCCCGGTGGTCTTGAATGGCATTCCTGCTAGAGCCATTGGCATGGTTTTCCTTTTCCTTCTTCTGTCTATCATTCTTGTAAGTTACTCCCTGATATACAAAGAAGGGAAACGGGCCGGCCACTTTAATAGGTCAAATATCAAAGCAAGGAAAACCGTCCTTATTCATTTAGTGCAATTGGGCCTGCACGTAATACCAACTCTGTTATTCATTGGTTTGGGAAAGATGTGTGGAGTGTTTTTCTTTGCTTTAAATCTGGTGCTTTTTGGAGTCTTTGCCTTTGCTCAGTGTTTTAACCCTCTGATCTATGGGCTCTGGAATAGAGAGTTGCAAAGCAGATTATACTACTGGATGTGCTGTCAACTGTGGTGTGGTCACTGTGGTGTGACTAGCAGAGAGTCAGTTTAAATAAAAATTCAGCCATTTTGAATCAATAACACTAGTCCTAATGGACTACCAGTTAGGGTTGAGCATTTGCTGTTCTCTCAACCTAAAATTGATGCCTTGATTTGATTTTGAGAGTAATATGAGTAAATCAAATTTATCCATCTGACTTACAAACTTTGACTACTGTGTCCACTGAATTGGACTCAGAGAAATCATTTTAAGTCTTTAATTCTATACCCAGATTAGTATTTTGGGTAACATGCCTTGGTGTGTATCAGGAGTTGAGCAGTTTTTTTGTGAATACACTTGTTTTTAGAAACTAAGAAACAGACCATGGTTGATAGGGAGAGAAGTTTGGCTGTTTCACTTATATTAAGTAGGGGTAGGTTTGGCTACATGTCAGCAACAAAATGAGAGTGACTTTAAAAAGTTAGAGGTTGATTTTTTTTCTTATGTAAAAGAAGTCTGGAGCTACACAATCCAGGCCTATGTGGTAACTCTGTAGGCCACAGAGGTGATTCCCTTCTACTCTGCCATGATTAGTGTACTACCTCATGACCCAGGATGGCTGTTAGTGCTCCTGTCATCACATTCACACTCCAGCCAACAGGAAGGAGGAAGGGACAAAGAAGTCTCTGTACCTTCCTTCTAAAAACACTTTTCAGAAGTTACAAAACATTTTTTCTTACATCTAACTGGCTAAATTTTAGTCATTTGGCTACAACCTAGCTTTAAGGGAGAGTAGTAGTGTAGTAGTGTTCTGTTAAAAGTTAGGTTTCTTAATACTAAGAAAATAAATAGGAGGAAATATTATTTCAGGGGCCGTTTTTCTCTTGACCAAATAAAATACAAAGAAAGACAATGGATAGATTATGATCATCACAAAATATACTCTACCTTTTAAAATGATATATAGATACAAAGTTATCTGTTCTGGATCCCAGAAAACTTTAACTGTATTATGTCAAAGAGAATGGCATCAATAAAGAGATCACTGAACTGGTTTAAACATGGGAACTCATAATTTAAGTCTAAGTAAGTTTGGGGCCATAGTGTGAAATAACTTCTTTCACAGAAGTCTCCATATGATATTTCTTTAGATAAAACACCCATTTCTGAATCAGTCAGGAGTCAGTCCTAGAAACAGGAATCGTTACCATAAATATATTGCCCCATAAAGATTTAATACAGGAATTGGATGCATACAAATCACTGAAAAGGGCTAGGGAGTGGAAATCAGGGGACAGCATTTGTGGATGTCAGGAGCAAGCCAATGCAGCTGTAACCTGGAGGTCAGGCAGGTGCTTCTACCACCGCCTGTCCCCCTTCACCCTGTCTCCTCATGTTACTCATGACTGTGTGACTTTGTCTGGGGGAGAAACAGCAACAGGAAGATGGCCTCCACTTCCTCCATCTTCCAAATCTCATGTGATTGGCTATAGCTGGTAGAATTTAACTGGCACCCAGACTCTAAGAACAAAGGAGTCTGGGAAATGTAGTTTCTAGTTTCACAGAATTGGTAGTACAGAAAGGCACCCTGAAAGGTGTATAAATGAGGATTGAATGATCCAAATCATGGGATCCACCATTATGATATTTATATTTTCAGGTAACAAAACAACAACAAGGACAACAGATGCCATGTATTGAATAATTCTTATGCTCCTGATATTATTATGTAAGCTCTTTTATATACAGTATGTCAAGTCCTCCCAACAATTTTATAATGTAGAGATTATTATTCCTGATTTACAAATGAGAAAAACTGAGGCTTATAAAGGTCTTACAGGAGCGTAGGAGCTCAGGACCACCCCTTTAAATTTCTATACACACGACTTGACTCAGGGTGATCATTTCATCACTGTTGAGAGCTGGACCTGTTGCTTGGGAAATTGGGGCCTTGGTTCTCCACTTTGCTTTGGGTGTGGACAGCTGGCTTGTAGAAAAGAGCTCCATTTTACTGATTGTTTTGACTACACTCTACATCCTTAGGCCGCCCTTGGTTTCAGATCCTAGCGGTTTCTGAATCATGTCTGGACTCCATTTTGGCTTCCAGTTCTTCTTTCGTCCTCTGGGTATTCATTCTAAGTTTTCCTTCTTCCTCTGAGAATAGCTCTGAGACTTCAAAGCACCACCTTCTCTTTTGCTTGTGCAGTTCTCCTCCAGGGCAGGCGCAAGTCTCTCACCTTTATCTCCCAGCACCCAGTATAGAGCCTGATAGATGGCAGATCTCAACAAATGATAAACTAGACTCATCAGTCAGTAATACATGCCTTTGTACAAACTCTCCCCACAAAACCACAAAAACCAAGTTGTTTCTTTGTTTTTGTTGAAATATTAAGCAATCTGAGAGCAGAAAGAGGAAGAAAAACGAAAAAATTGTCCAGGCTTAACTTAATTGTGAGGCCTAAATCTAATACTCACAATTCAATTTATCCTCAGAACTTTTAAAACTCTGTTTTCTAATATCAAAAGGTAACTTCTACTTGTACCACTGATCATGAGAATGGTTGTTTTATACTTTTAAATGTAAGTCATTGCTTTTTAAAGTTAAATATTTTGAATTGGGAAAGTACAGTATAAAATTCAAAAGGCTCAAAATGGTATTTAGTGAAAATTAAGTCTTCTTTGGGCTTCCCAGGTGGCGATAGTGGTTAAGAACCCACCTGCAAATGCAGGAGATGGACCGCGGAGGAGGGCACAGCAACCCACTCCAGTATTCTTGCCTGGAGAATCCAATGGACAGAGGAGTCTGGAAGGCTACAGTCCATAGGATCACACAGAGTCAGACACAACTAATGCAACTTAGCACACAAGCATACATCTTCCTCCTCCCCATTTTTTGATATCTTCCTTCTCTTCCAAGAGTCAACAGCTGATCAGTTTCTGAGCTTTCCTCAAAAGATGATCAACGAAGGGGAAAATATTGAGAATTTCTCATTTGTAAGATAATTTTGGTTTTCACTTCCTGGACTTGCATTTGAAAGTTGTTTAAACTGATATTAAGGATGATAGTTTATGTCATGAATGACATCAGCAGCTATGCTTCCCATAATGTGAAAATTCTTTGAGAAACTTAAGCTTGGGCAAGATACAGAGGAAGGGGGAGAGGCTGACGTTATTTGCATTATTTGAGAATACCTGTAAACTGTTCCTTTCCCCTATAGACATGGTGCCATTAGGTCGAATTTAAAGTCAGGAAGGATAGGAGTTTAGGGGAAATGTTCAAATATCTCTAAAAAACAAATTACTGAAACAAAAATGTGAATTTATCAAAATTCCCAAGTTCTTAGAAACATTTCATTTATTGCAACTGTTACCATATTATCACGGCATGAAACCATTTCTGGCTTAACTATAGATATGCTGTATAAACACACTGCCTTATATGTAGATATGCTCTATAAACACTTATTCTAAAAATGAACTTGGGAAACATTTTAAAAAGTAAGAACAGAAAAGTAGTTTATAATATCCATCATAAGAAAATGTAGAATGAATCCAGTCTGTTGTTTAGAAGACGTTCAAGAAGGTAAGATCAGCCACATTAATGTATTTTAAGCATTTTTTGTTTTTGGAAAGGTCAAAGACTATGGCTAGAATTGCCTTCCTGGTGGCCAAGTGAAGACATTATCTCTGCAGTGGAGAGAAAATGGCACATCTGTCCCTAGGGGGAGTGGGGAAAGCATGCCAGAACATTCCAGTGAACCAAGAGAACTGTGGGAAGCATCTGGCCCTGGAACTGTTGGAAAGGCTTGTTCTAAAATGCTTCATGCCTAAGGGGAGGGGCTTTCATCAGTAGGAGAATGGTGGTTACCACTGGCTGCAGAAGATGAAGATGGGGTGAGAGGCAGTCAGCCAGAGATAGGGATTGCCCAAGGGCTCAAGGGGATAACTTTGAGGACCCCACATAGTGCTACAGAAGAGAAAGAATTGTCTCTGGAAATCTATCCCACCCAGAAGATGCAAAGGTCATACTATATCTGCCTTAGACAAGGATAATCTTTGCTGTCTCATACATCTCCTCCCAGCTTCCATCTCTTCTAGGTCAAGAAAAGTCATAGGCAACCTGGGGGTTGGGGGGAGGGTGGCTGTAGAAACCTTAATTCCATCTGCAACCTTCATTCATCCTTATAAGCTAGCAAAACATCCATGGGTTCCAGTGGTTAGGGTATCTTTGCTGGGGTAAGGGATGTTACTCTGCCTATCACATTTATAAAATGAGATTGTTCCTTGTAGCTGAAAATGACCAAAGGACGTAAGAATTACTTAAGAATGACTAGCCAAAATGCATATCAAAATAGCAACAAAATAATACCTCATTCTCATTTGGATGACAACTATAAAAATAGCACAAAATAAGTATTGGCAAAGATATGGAAATATTGGAACCCTTGTGCACCCCTGGTGAGATGTTCCCATTTCCCAAATGGGAACTGTACAGCCACTACAGAAAATGAGTTCCAAAAAATTGAAAATAGGACTATTCCATGATCCAGCAATCCCACTATTGGGTATAAATCCAAAAGAATTGAAAGTAGAGTAAAAAAAAAAATGTTTCCACATCCATGTTTATGGTAATGCTCTTCACAATAAGCCAAGAAGTGGAAGCAAACCAAAAGTCCATAAATGGATAAGTAAACAAAATGTGGTATATCCAAACAATGAAATATCATTCAGCTTTCAAGAGGAGGGAAATTCTGTCACATGTTCCAGTATGAATGAACCCTGAGGATATTAAGCTAAGTGGGCTTCCCTGGTGGCTCAGTCGGTAAAGAAACTGCCTGCAATGCAGAAGACCCACGTTCGATCCCTGGGTTGGGAAGATCCCTTGGAGGAGGGAATGGCAACCCACTCCAGTATTCTTGCCTGGAAAGTCCCATGGAGAGAGGAGCCTGGCGGACTACAGCCCATGGGGTCATAAAGAGTCAGACACGACTTAGCTACTAAACCCTCACCACAAAGAGACAAATGCTGTCTGATTCCACTTATAGGAGATATACAAAGTAGTCACATTCATA